GCTCCCAGTCCAGTGCGCCATCTGAACGTTGAGGCTGCCCTTCTGGTCTGAGCTACCGCGGGCGCTGGCAAGGCCGCTGGGGGAAGATGCCTTATCGCAGCCAGCAGCTCTTCACCCTCATTGTCGGCGAGCGGCCGCGGGAGGTCAGCATCACCACGTCGTTCTCCTTCCCAGATCTTCCTCCAGCCATCCATCTGGGTGTCGGCGATCGCCTGTGGGTGCGACGTCAGGGTCTGGTCCTGCTTGATCTGAGCGTGTGGCCATGGCTGCACTCTGGTGATGGAGTAGACCGGCGCTGGTCCTGTGACCATGGCGTCTCGCGCCCATGCCTTGAACTTGCTGATCCTGTGCCAGCCTGCTTACCTGTCGAGCTGGTCCACGTACGTAACGATGATGTTGGCGAACGCCTGTAGGCAGAGTATGCGCTGCATGGGATGCTGCCTGCAGGCGAGGTGAACGATGTCCCAGGCGCCCTTGAAGTAGCTCTTGCCTTCGACTGTGCGGACGTCTTGGGCATGTCCTGGTCGCAGCAACCCGGCGAGATGTGCCCAGCGTGCTCGGCGTCGTGACGGCGACATGCGACTGACCGATATCGACCCCGCGTTCTTCGTCAGATTTCCTTTGCCTCCAATCTGGCCCTGTGAGCCTCTGGGCCCCCAGAGCTCCGCGCCCCCCGTTAGCCCTCTTGGCGGGTCCGAGACCAGGCCAGGACCAAATGTTTGAGGCGGCCTGGGGTCCAGGGAGACCCCCTGGGAAACAATACTCTGAAGGGGCGTGGCGACATCGCCATAGTTGGGCAACTGGTCGGCTGCGGCGGCGCCGAACTCGGCCAGGAAGTCGGCCACCAGGTCCTGGATTGCTTGTCCCGCAGTACGTAGGTACCGAGCCTCGCTGCCCCCAGTAGGGCGCGGGCCTGTCTTGGGGCCACCAATCGGCCGCCACGTGTAGGATGGGCCATCTGCGCGTCCACGGTAGGCGTCAGGCTCGTCAACCTGGTAGATGCCAATAAGCTCGCTCTCGACGCGCGAGATGAACTGACCGTGCAAGGCGCCCATTCGGCCGATAGCTTCTTCCTTGGAGATAGGGGGGCCTCGCTGAGCGTCGTTCTCTACAATGTCTAAGTAGTCGGGCGTGACGATCGGCCCCTGCAACGGATTGCAGCCCTTTGTAGCGGGGGGCCCTTTGGGACAGACAAGCCATAGGACAAGTAATCTTGTGAGGTGACGTTCCAGTCACCAGTAATGATGCACGGCTTGTTCATGTACCTGAGGACCTTCGAGGGCCTCAAGTAGCGGTCGTAGTTGGAGGTGAGGCAGCAGGTCTTGTGCGTGCACTCCATATAGACAGATCCCACCAGCGACCCTCGAGGAAGTCCCACATCAACACGTACGACCACTGCCCAAGCTGGTGTCATTTCATGAGTGACTCTGCCATCGGGTCCCTCGACGACAGTGGCAGGTAGGCGGGTACGCACGAGAACTCCTGCGCCCGCAATGGGTAGTCCCGTAGGTAGGCGTCGGCAAGCGGTGATGGAGGCCTGCCATCCATTGCGACGAGCCCAAACTTGTGCTTGGGCAAGACGTTCGCCATCTAGTCTGGGATTTTGAGCGCACACGATATCGACCCCTTTCGTACCTTCCGCCAAAAAGGTCCTGCAACAATCCCAACACGAACCGTTGAAGGTAGCAACTGCAATATCCTTGCGCTTAGAGCCTCTCGGTGCTCTAGTCCCCCCCCCCCTCCCCCCGCCTGCTCCCATGCCTCCTGCTCGACTGGCATTGCGTCAGGGCGCCCTGCAGGGGGGCGAAAAGCGGCTGGCTGCAGCGGTGGAGGTACAGAGGCGGCTGGGGGTGCTGCGGTCCTAGTCGCGATGGTGCCGATGTTGGTGATCTACTGCTCGATGGCGTATAGGAGCTGGGAGCCGCCCAAGTTCGAGGTGCCAGCTCTTGCCGCCTGCAGGACCGCCTGGGGCTGAATGATGGCTGCAGAGACGTTGGTCATCGCTGGAACTCCTTCTGTGGCTGCCACTGCTGCAACTGCGGATTGGGCCTGGGCGACCTCGGCGTTGAGGTTGGCCACCTCCGCCTCGAGCTTGGTGAGCTGCTGCTTGGCATCGGTGAGGTCCGTCTCCAGCTGCTCGACCTGCGCTGCTTTGGTCGCGCGCTCGGGCTCCTTGGCTGCCCACCTGTCGTTTGCACTCCTGAGCAGGTCGGAGGGGTCCATCTGAGATCGCAGCACAGCTTCGGCTTTGTCATGCTCTGCCTTGGCGGCGATGACCAGGTCGTGCTCGTCTCCATAGATGCGCCGTATGGCCAGCCAAGCCCGCTTGGACTTGGTGGCTGCGGCCTGCTGTGGCGATGCATCAGCAGCAGCCTGAGGAGCAGGGGCAGCATGATCAGGACGATCGCGCCAGGGCGCCTCTGACCCGCGCGAAGAAGTCCTCCTGCGGCTGGGCGTGCGCTTGGGGGGGGAGGTGGGCTTGCCGTTCTTGTCCCTGCCGCACGCCCAGCACGTCTCCCTGGAGCCGTAGTTGTTGCGGAACCCGCATGCCTTGGTCGCCCTGCATGCCCAGGTTTCGCCATGCCTCTGCTGCATGTGCTGGGTGCCAGCTGGTGATATACTGCCGTGATGCGCCTGCAGGAGCCGCCTGGCGGCTGCCTCACGTAGCGTCCGCCGCGCGCTGGCGCGGCGCCTGCGCAGGCGGGGTGCCAGGCAGGCGACGGGTCACGCCCGCAGATGCCGCCCGCCGCCACAAGATCGCCTACGCCCGCCGTCGGGCTGCAGGCTGGGGCCAGCTGGATGCGCCCGACGCGCGCCCCCGCGCGCGTGGGAACCCAGATGGCAGCCTGGAGGAGGAGGAGGAGGAGGAGGAGGAGGAGGAGGAGGAGGAGGAGGA